CTGCACCCTTCGCACCTGCTGCACCGTTCCTGCTTTTTTGTTTTCTCCCTCGGAGAGGGAACATCGGAAACTGGAGCATCTACGTTATTAGTGGCGGGCTATCTCTCAATCCCGGGACTTTTTTCGAGGGTCGGGGACGACGTCGGGGTGCTGTGGTGTATAGTTGTTTCCCCGGTCCCCCGGGAAACAAGGAAACGTGTATACACCAGGATCCCGTATACACCAGGATCCGCTTTCCTGTGCGAATTTCAGTGCGGGTCGGAAAAAGCGTCCGTGCATAGAGTTCGACCCCTTAGGAAAGGTATTCAGACTGCTACCTGTGCATCGTTTTCGCCTTTTTGGGCCTCCTGGGAGGCCCTCGTCGCCACCGCTGGATTCGCCTCGCAAGTCTGGTCAGAACGCAGCCCAGGAGAGGTCTGGGGAGTAGCGGTATCTGTACAATGTTGGTTTCCCCCACCTTCTCCTCTTGGCTTTCTTTCTTCTCATCTTCAGACATTCGACCCAGAAGGGTTGAGAGACCCAACGCGTCGCTGGTAGCTTGTAGGTTTACTTTCGAGAGGTGAAGGCCAGGCTGCTCGAGCCTCCCTAGTCTTTTGTGCTGTTCTGTGTTGCCCGTCCTCCCAGGGGCGATTCGTATTGTATCGTCTCATATCTTTCTCATCCTCATCTGCCCAGTTCTTGCACACGACCCTGCCCTTTGGGAGGCCGTGGCGCGTGCCCGATGATATTATCAACATCATCGTCATCACCATCACCGCCACTGTCGCCATCGCCATCGCCATCGCTATCATCGTCATCATCATCAGCAGCAGCAGCACCACCATCCTCATCATCACCACCACCACCACCATCATTGATCATCATCATCATCATCATCAGCGCCATCATCATTATCCTCATCAGCATCCTCATCATCATCAGTACTCGTCACCAGCATCACTACCACCACCACCACCAGAGTCATTATTATCATCAGCATCATCATCATCATCGTCTCCGTCATCATCATCACCATCATCATCGTCATCGCCATCGTCGTCATCACCATCATCAGCATCAACATCATCATCACTATGGTCATCATCATCATGCATCACCGCCGCCGCCATCATCAAGATCGTCATCGTACAGTCGGCCCTGATTAGTATAGTAGGCCGACCATACCAAATCTAGCGAGGGTATCCTTGTGCCCTGTCTATCCCGAACTACACAATCCGCATGTAACTTGGTGTTCTGGGGCCACGCTGCTGTCGGAAAAATGTTGTCTTCTCGGGTATCCTGTCCAACTAAGTCAGATTGTAATCACCATTATCTCCATCATCGCCGTCATCAACACAAACATCGCCTTAATCATTCCCGTCGTCATCGATGTCGTCATTCTCACCACCACCACCGCCGTCATCACCATCATCAGCATCATCATCATCGTCATCATCGTCATCGTCATCGTCATCATTATCATCATCATCATCATCATCATCATCATCATCATCATCATCAGCATCATCATCATCATCGTCACCGTCATGGTAGCATCGCAATTGCCACGGTCACCATCATCACCCGTATCATCATTGGCATTACCGCCGCCACCGCAATCATCCCTGCCATCGTCATGATCGTTCTCATTGTTGCCAGATCGGAAACTCATGCCACTTCTTAGCTTTCAGGTCTCTGGAGAGCCCGCTCTGGGCCCCGGGGCCGTCAAAGAGTTCAGTCCAGCAAGGTAAGCCGCCGTCTTTTGTTAGACTTCCGAAGGCCTTGTGCGCTAAAAGCGAGAACCTTCGAGAGACTCATTGGGGCGGCCGAACACATGTTTGAATCCCCGAGAACATGTTACAAGCCCGCGAGAAGCCTGTTGAGACGTCAGAAGCCCGCCCGAGCAAGATCGACAACGAGCAAACACCTGGATTCCCCCCTTCTCCTGGTGGGGCGTCTCATCCTCAACCCTTCTCCTCGATCCTCCTCTTCGGCCCTCCTCCTGTATCATCCCGTCGTCCTCCCTCATGCAGGAGATGGAAGGGGGGGACTAATCGAGGAGGAGGAGGAGGAGGAGGAGGAGGAGGAGGGAGGAGGGAGGGAGGAGCAGGAGGATAGTCGGGAGGACCAGCGTGAGCCCAAGATGCATCAACGATGCTGCACCACACCCCTCCGCCCCAGGTCCCCTCCTCAGAAAAGCCCCTTTCCACTTCGAGAAGAGCACCTTTGACCGGAATGGCTAGCTTCCCGTGGGCCTGCCATGCGGGCGAGAGCCCCGATTCGAGAAGGCACTGCCTGCCCTGCATCCCGTCAGCGGGCCGCAAGGAGTGCGAACAGGCATGGCCACACGGTTCAAGAAGGTGTCCAACGAGATCCCCGTTTTGAAACACATCCCCCCCCCATTTTTGCACCTCTCACTCGGGCTCTCACGTCTGGCAGTGGGCGTCGAGGGAGTCCCGAGCGGGCACCCCGTGCCGAAAGGGAGTCGCCCTCCATCCGTGCAGGGGTTGCACCTGTTCGAGTTTTTTTGTTTCGTGCCGTCGCCCGAGATCTCAAGAGGACGCATGATTTCTGGCAGCGGAACCGCCATACATCCGTGCGGCTACAGTGGGGGGCCCGAC